TTTGATGAGAAGAATGTGTGTTCTGTGGTTGTTAAATAAATGTTCTGCACATATCTGTTCGGTCCATTTGTTCTATATTGCAGCTTAACTCCAATTTTTCTTTGCTGCTTTTCTGTTTAGATAATCTGTACGATGCTGATAATAGTGTGAACTCAATTCTTAACTATTATTGCATTGGAATATTTTTCTCTCTTTATATCTTACACTAACTATTTATATATTTTGATGCTTCATTATTGGATGCATATGTCTTTCCCATTATTATATTTTTTTACTAAATTGATCCCTTTATTGTTACAGAATAACCTCTTTTGTCTCTTTTTACAGTTTTTGACTTAAAGGATATTTTATCTGATATAAATGTAGCTACTCTTGCCTACTTTTGGTTTGTTCTAGTTTTTCACTTTGTCTATGTGTGTCTTTGCCAGTGAAGTGAGTTTCTTGTAGGCACCATACAATTGGGTTTTGTTTTCAATTTCAATTTATTTAGCCAGACTACTTTTTTTTTTGAAAGAGAGGTTTTTTACTATAGGGTGCATGTGCTCGCTGGAGAGACAAAAAGAGATATAGAAATCACTCCCCTAAGAGGGATGACCACACCACAATCCCTTCTCCTCCACTCTCCTCTTGGGATCTTGGGCATGCATGTACACGTGCTCAGTGTGAGTTTTAAGACACCGGGTCTGGTACTTGAACTGTGGTCAATTAAGTGGGAGTCCAGCAATGTAACCATTATGTCATCTGCTGGTCCCAGCCAACCTACATTTTTTGGTTTAGGAGTTTAATGCATTTATATTCAAGGTTACTTTAAAAAAATATTTATTTAATTTTATTTATTATCATTATTATTTTAAAATTTAGCTCTAGGGACTTGAACCACGATCAGCCATGTGGGAGTCCAGTGACATAGCTGCTACACCATCTGCTGGCCTCCCTTTAGCCTTTTTTTAAAGAGTTATTTTATTAATTTTACTCATCATCATTATTATTTTTTAAATTTTACCACAGAAAGAGAGACACAGAGAGAGAGAGAGAAAGTGAGAAAGCAAGCTGCCAGGTCCAGGACTTGAACCATAGTCAGCTATGTGGGAGTTCAGCTCCTTAACCACCATGCCATCTGCTGTCCCCTAGTTTCATACTAGGGTATATTACAAAGTAACAATTCAGTATATTTCATGCAGGCATTCCTTTTCTCTTTTCAGTTTATTTTTCCTTATTCACGATAAATATCTCTCTCTTCATTTTCTTTTTAATGCTTACTTATTTCTTTCTCCTGTGAGTGACAAACAGAGAAGGGGAGAGATGGAGAAAGAAAACAGGCACTCCAACAGGGTCTTCATGCTTCAATCCACCCCCCGGCTTCAGCCAGTGCTGGATCTGGACGCGCTCGTGCACATGCATTAACAGTCCTCCTACGTGAGCCACCCACTCAGAGCACTGTTACTACTGTGCTGGAACTCAGCTGTCAGCCCCTCTGTCTGTCTCTTTTGACTTCAAAATTTTCTATTTGCTTGTCAAAAAACTTTCAGTTGCCTCTTCCATTTCTATTTGTGTGGGAGGCACTCTATGCAAGTACCACACCAAAAAGTACAATTGCGTGTTAATCTTCTTTATGAATATATGTATTTCTTACATTTTGTGTGCTCTGAAGGGGTTAAGTGATATATTACACATAATGTTTTGAGGTGTGTTTCCCTTTTCTCTCAAACAAAACTTTTTTCAAAGCAATTATTTCAGAGTGGGTATGTGAGCTCTTTCATTTTTCAAAAAAATTTTGGAGGGTATCTGGGAGAAGTCATGCTTATAGATTAGTAAAGTTGGAAGGTACTAAAAATTACCTAACCTAGTTCATTTGTCATGTGAGAAAATTCAGACTCAGAGTCATTAAGTAACTTGCTGAATAACACATGAGGAAAAGAAACACATGAAGGCAGGGTAAAGAAATGGCCGGCATGAAGTGTACTGAGTGACCAGGGGTATAACTCAGATCATATTTTGCGTTCATAGTTATCTTGAGCACAGAGAAAAACTAGTCAGCCTAAGTGAAAGGTCAAGGAAACAGAAAGTTTTGTCCTTAAAAATATAGCTCACTGCTGGGACCAGCAGTTAGCATAATGGCTATGTTGCTGGACTCCCATGTAGTTGACTGTGGTTTGTGTCCCATACCCAGTGGCTTAAAACTCACATCGGGCACGTGTGTGTACATGCCCAAGATCCTGAGAGGAGAATGAAGGAGAAGGGATTGCGGCGTAACCATCCCCCCTGGGAGGTGATTTCTCGCTTTCTGTTTCTCTGTCTCTCTCTGTCTGTTTGGTGAGTGCACACGCTCTATAGCAATAAAAAACCTCTCAAAAAAAAAAAAAAAAAAAGAAAAGAAAATTTCCAGCTCACTGCTCAGCCCGTTGTAAAAGAAAGAAAAAGAGGGAAAAAAAAATCAAGGTGATCTGTCATTATTCTCATGATTATTATTTGATTTCTCTTCTCAAGGCCTAACCATACTACTATGGCTTGGCTTCTCTCTCAACCACCATTTGCCATTTCTGAGTACTGATTGCCCAATGTTCTGTATTCATTTTTTTTCTCTCTTCAGGCTGAATTCTTTTTATTAATTCTTGGCAGAATATTTTTCCATATTTTTATAAGAGCTGTGGCTCTGAAGGAAGTATTTATTATGCATGTACTTTAACCCCAAAGGAAACCAGAAAGAAAGGTAAACTGGAATGAGAAATTAATTCTCAATTTACAGGGATATTAACAGATGAAGTATGGTCAGAAAACGTTTTCTGAAGTAAAACAGCCACATTGCCATTTAATACTTGCCATTAATGTGGTTTGTCACAATACCAAATTAAATCTATTTAAAAAATGTTCCATGTTCTTTTAAACAAATATTGTCTTTCAGTTTAAGCAAATGGCAAAAAATCCACTCAAGGCAATAAATATTGGAGTGCATTTGTAAGGCACTGTGGTAGGCCCTGGAAAAAAGATACTAAAGTAGGTATCTGCCCTCAATAGCTGAGTGTGTACTTTGTCTTTCAAAAAGTCCTTGCATAAACAGAAATCTGGAGTCTGTGAGAATCATACACATTCTCATGCTTTTGCCTCTTCCATCACCAGCAGGTAGATGAACACTTGGCACCATTGATAAGCTTTACACCTTAACACAACAAATACTTTTGTGTGCTTATAATAGATTTAGTGCAGGTAATTGATACATCAGAAAACAAATTGCAAAATTCCTGTGTCATGGAATTTGTATTTTTTTAATAATTATTTAACTTTGTTTATTCATTCATTTATTTATTTCAATTTGACCAGAGAGGGATAGAGAGAGAGAGAAAGAGAGAGTACTTCCAGGTCCAGGACTCGAAACATAGTTGGCCATGTGGGAGTCCAGCACCCTTAACCACCAAGCCACCTCTGCTGGCCCCATGGAATTTGTATTCTAATAGGAAGAAACAGAATAAGCAAATAAGTAAAACATATGTGTAGACAAAGAAAAAAAAGCAGAGGAGGTGGAAGGAATTCATGGTCTGGTAATGTTATAATTTCAAATAGCATTTTGAACGGAGTTACCATTAGAAGACCCAAAATAATGAGCTAAGTGAAATAATGGTGCTAGCCAAGACACCTATGTGGCAGACCAGCAGGTGGCATAGTGGTTGGTGTGGCTGGATTCCACATGACCGACTCTGGTTCAGGGTCTCGACCAGGTGGCTTGAGAGAAATCCTGGGTGCATGATATCCCAAATGTCCAGAGAAGAATGGAGAAGATGGGATTGCAGCATGGCCATCTCCTCTGAGAAGTGCTTTCTCTACAGTGAGTGCATGTGCCCTATAGTAGATTAAAAAAAGAAAAAAAAGTTGTGGCAAAGCGTTTCAAACAGAGGGTACCAAGGTTTTAAGATGGAGTGTGCCTGATATTTTCAAAGATGAACTGAGAACTATAATGCCAGTGTGGCGGGAACTGGACTACTAGAGAGAAGGCAGTAGAAGATGTAGACCTTTAAGAAATTTGGACTTAAACGAAAAACCACTGGAAGATTTTGCTGAGCAAAGCAGTGACATGACTACATTTATAGCTTAGTTTAAAACTTTACACAAATTAAATTCAGCAGAGGATTCATGAACCCAGAAGCACTCAGAACTAAGAAAGTTTCACAGAGTTCCACCAACTGATGGCAGGCATTATTTACAGACGGGAATGCCTTACAGAAAGAGCTTGATTGGTTTCAGCTGGGGTTTCGCCTTATGTGGCATGGTACGATGAGAATTTTGCCTTATTTAGATACAGTTTGTGATGGAGAACAGCCAGGACAAGGAAATGCCAACTTTAGAAAGAAGTCATGCATTCAACACCTATGCAAAAAGTAGAGCTTTGTCAACGTCTAGATTCCTCCTATTCAGTTCCGATTATTTAATCAGAATCTCCATGATTATGGCTCTGGAAGCAAGACATTTAAAACTCTCCCCAGTGATTATTCTGTAACCAACGTACTTGGGGTAGTAAAGCCTGATGGCTCAGGATTTCGGGGTACAAAGTGGGAGCACGCCACAGTGCCAAGCGCGTGGCTTGGTGGGCTTGCTGATAAAAAGATAGTAGTTATCCTACTCTGATCCTTACACAGTTTGCAGGGATACTGTAAAATCCCTCAAGTAGCTTGGGCTAACCATGGGAAGCTTCCTGAAGGCGCCTTTGAGACGAATGCTTTCTCAGATCTTTAATACTCAGGAAGGAATGAAGACGAATAGGAAAAAAAAAATACTAGTGCTGGACGAAGAGGTGACAAGTCAAAAGTTTACTGCCTGGGACACAGCACGGGTTAAGACACAGCAATGCGCAGGCGCAACTCCGCGAAGGCCACGCCCATCCAAGAGAAGTGCCGGCCAGTTTTCCGTCCGCATCAGATCTCGGATTTCCGGAAGGACCAGATTCATGAGAGGACCAAACCGGATAAATGTCGCGCGTTCTCTTCCGCCCACTTTCCGATTCGCCGGTACGCGACTGCCCTCCTTTTGCGCAGGCGCAGTTAGCAGTCCAGCGGCCGCGCGATGCCGGGGCGTCACATTGCTCGTGTCCGGACCTTGTATAGACGAATCTTGCAGTTGCACCGCGTTTTGCCCCCGGACCTCAAAGCCCTGGGCGACCAGTACGTGAAAGATGAATTTAGGAGACATAAGACCGTTGGTTCTGACGAGGCCCAGCGTTTCTTGCAGGAATGGGAGGCAAGTGATGCCCCCCTCTTCTTTGCCCTAGTCTTTTGGGGTTCCTCATTGGTGTCCCAGTTTGTCTTTTTTAAAGACCGCCAATTTCAGCTCGTTCCCAGTACCCCGTGTAGAATCAAACAGAGCAGCTGCTTGGTTTGTTTGCATTAAACAGCTTTAAAGCCGTTCTGACAAGTTTTCCCAAAGTTGCATCCCAAGTTCCCTGAGTTGGTCCCAGGGGTGCCTCCCCTCGAGCAGATCCCGTTATGACAGCGTCTCCAATTCAGTCCAGCTTTCTGAGTTCCTGCAGATTCTCGGCGCTGCAGGGTGGGTATAGGGAGTCACAAGCTGAATGAGCCACCGACGAGTGCTCAAATTGCTCATCAGCTTTTTGTCCTTTTAGTGCCTTGGAAGTAGCCAGCGCTGCATTAATAGATTAATGGATCTTTTATTACTTCGTTTTCAGACTTAGTTTATTATTATTTTTATAATCTCAGAGCTCTTGCTTGAGTCAGTTATTTTCTCCCTTGACTGATAGCAGAAAGCAGGTAATTTTAAAAAGACTGTGTGGGAATTGCAAGTGTTGAAGGAGAAAAATGCTGGTCGTAGTTAAATCAGGCCAAAGTTGTTTTTTCTGGGAATTCTGACTTAATATTGGTGGTGTGGTCAACTGGCTGGTAATGAGACACAGCCACTGTGTCTCCACTGTAAGTTACTTTTTTACATTTCAAAATTGATACATTTTTGGATGAGTACTCTAATATTGTGCAGATACCCTGTTTTCAAACTTTGCCAGATGATTTTAGTATTCACTGATGGATTGTGCATTGTGTTCTGGTTGTGATTGTCTATTTCCCTCCTTTAGTATGAATCCTTAGTTGGAACACTTCTATAGGGAAGAGCTGTCCCTTTTTTCGTTGTGGTTCTTGCGTATTTCTTATTTTTTGGAATGAAGTAAGAGAGTATTCCTTAGGACCAGGGCCTGTAGTTAATGAATTGGAGCTGAGTAAGTTTAAATTCGGGGCCAAGAATAGTGTGGTGGTTGGGGTGCTGGATTCCCACATGGTGGACTATGGTTCCACTCCTGGGCTTGGCAGCTTGCTTTCTCACCCTCCTTCTCTCCCTCTCTGTCTCTCTGTCTCTCTCTGGTCAAATTGAAGAATAATAACAACATTAAATTAATAGTTCTTAACACACACACACACACACACACACACTGTGCTCAAGATCCCAGAAAAAGAATGGAGAAGGGGTTGCAGAATGGCCATTCTCCCGGTGATTTCTCACTTCCACCTCACTGTCTCTCTTTGGCACATGCACGCACCCTATGGTAGGGGACTGGTGCTAGAGAGTGATGTCCTTTAGCCTTCCAAGTCTTTTGTCCCCCACATGTTCCGTTTATGTTATGCTGCATGCTACTTAGGTTTAGCATGCACTTGCATGTTGTTTGATTAATGGTGATTAGAAACTTGGCACGTGGTGTTGGAGAGTGTAACTAGCCTGATGTTTATGTTTTTATCAAGGTTATTCAGAGAACACTTGTGGATTTTTAACTCATACTATGTGGAGTTTGGACTCAGATTCTTTCACATGCTTGTAAAATCAAGTGTGGACTTGAATGAATTCTGAGTTGGTTTTACATCATTGGGCAAGGTTGTGTACTGGCACCACCAGAGAAAAATAAGGAAGAAGAATCAGGTGTGCTAGAGGTCTAGTATGGGAAGATAGTTCTCTTTCTCTTCTTCAATTCTTATTTCTTCCATGGATGAGTGAGAGGCAGTTCTCAACAGCATCTCAACGCCGATTGATCCACCCTTAGTCAGCCCCTAGATCATGTGTACGTGAAAGCCTAGCCTACTCAGGGAGGCTTCCCAAGGTGAACCTGGAACCTTCCAATGCGGGGGGCATTGCATTTTTACTACTGAGCGTTCTCTCATCACCTCCATTTGTGATCACGGGGAACTGGCAGATAGTAGAGCGAATTAAGCTGAGGAGGTTTCTGTTCAAGGACCACTTGAGAGGAGATGGAAGGAAACTTTCATCTCAAGGATAAAATGTAAGTGCATATTGCAGAGTAAGTAGGGAACATATCATTTCTTACTATAAGAGAAAAGAAAGTAAATTTAGGAAGCGATGTTAGGGAGACTGATAACTGATAAAATATCCTTTGTAATCTCACTGCCAAACTTTAGGAAGCAACTATGAGAAGTGGGATTGCAATTTATAGCCTTTTAAAGTTTTAACTGCCCATTTTGGAAGAATAACTGATTTAGATAATGGCTTCTATTTTATACTCTGCCTAAAACTTGTTTCCTAGGAAAACAGAATGAGCATTGAAGATGAAATGATAAGTAAAACACACTGATGAGGGAGCCTGAGCGAAAAACAGTATTCTCTCAGGAGTGCCTTTGAAGTGACTTCATGTGTTTAATTTTCCTTTTTCTGCCCCCTTCATTTGTCAGTTGACTTCTTGCCTGATTTCTGTTGGTTTTTCTAAGCAGCTGCTTTGCTTTGTTGTAAAGCATTTATAGAAGTTCTGTTCCTAGAAAAAAGCAAAAAGGCTTAAACATTCTACAAATAGTTATTGATCATTATTACCAGGAATTGAGCTAGGTATTGTTGGAACATAAAAGTGAATAACAAATGGGGACCAGCAGTTAACGTAATGGCTGGACTCCCATGTAGTCGACTGTGGGTCGAGTCCCGGACCCGGTGGCTTAAACTCACGCCAGGCGCATGTGTGTGTGTGCCCAGGATCCTGAGAGGAGAATGGAGGAGAAGGGATTGTGGCATGGCCATCCCCCCTGGGGGGTGATTTCTCGCTTTCTGTCTCTCTGTCTGTCTGTCTGGCGAGTGCACATGCCCTATAGCAAAAACCAGGTTGAAGATAGAACTGTAGGAGATTGATGTAACAGTTCTGTTTTTTTCTTTTAGAGAGAATTTTACTACTGAGTACATGTGCTTGCCAGATAGAAAGTGAAAAATCACCCCCTAGGGGGAATGGCCACACCACAGTCCCTTCATTCTCCTCTCGAGATTTTAGGAATACACGCACTGAGCGTGAGTTTTAGGCCCCTGGGTCCTGGGCTCGAACTGGGGTTGATTACATGGGAGTCCAGTGACATAACCATTACTCCATCTGCTGGCCCCTTGATGTAGTAATTCTAAATAAGTATGCGGGGTATTCAAAAAGTTCACGGAAAATCGTATTATTAAAGAAAACCTATGGGTTTCAAAATTTTTCTGCACCAAAATAAGCTTGTGCTTCAACCCATTTTTTCCACTGTGTTGAAGCTCTCTCATATATGCCTGATCAGTGCAGTGGTGCTGAGGATGGACAGTAGAGATGAAAGGTGGAATTAGGGACTCAGCATGGTGACTGATACAGGATTAGTTGGTGGCTAGGTATGGGTGGGACATAAAAATGAATAACAAATATATTTCACTTTTACAGTGTTTAAAGTTTGATCAAGTAGAATAGACAATTATACTATGAAACTGTGTCTGTCTGGAATGGATTGGGTATGGGGTACGGAATGGATTCCTCCAAGGTTTTGGAAGATGACAACAATAACCAGAACAGGTTTCTAGTAGATGAGGAATGAGTATAGTTTGCTGTATTTTGTGTTAAACATGTTGGTGGGACAGTGAAGTGGAGATGCTCTGAAATACGCATTTGCGTGATACTCAAGGAGGAATTAGATTATGGCTGGATATAGAGATTTCAAAGTTGTTATCTGTAATTGGTGGTCCAGTGGTGTGGATGGAAGTGTGTATAATGCAGGGGAAGGTGGTCAGATAACCCTAATGTTTAGGAGTTAAGAGAATGAAGGTACACGATGCACAGTAAAAAACTATTTTGTTCTTTTAAAACCTGGATTTAGTTGTTCCTAACTTCTTCGGAGAAACATGAATACATATGTTTTTTTTCTTGATTATGTTTACTTCTTTAAACTTGTGTAATAGTCTAGATATCATAATATAACATTTGCTCTTTTGTTTTACTTTGTTGCATTTGTTTTCCAGAGGAGGAAATGCTTCAGGTTTTATGTAGCCATCTATTTGTAACTCACATGGGCTATCTTTTTATGACTTTGAAGTGGATTGGCTAGATAAAAATATATGATTAAGTTGCATGTCACCTATATTTAGAGTTTCCTTAACTTAGTATAATTAGGGATGGAGGGGTATTTTGCTAGTTTTTATAATTGCATGCCTCTCTTAACTAACTTGGGATCTCGTTTTGTTGCTTTTGAACAACCTGATTTGTAATTGATAGTTTAGCTTGTGGAAGAAAAGGAATGAATTACCTCTCTGTTTAGTATGGGTTTTATGTGTGGGGGATACCTCTACCAAGAATGAATGGCTCACTTGGGTCCCCCTCAGTTATATTGTTTATTCTGTAAAATAAGTTGTTTGGTATCATACAGCTAGATGGGACAAAATCTTGTGCTTTTACCTCATGCAAGTCTAAGATTTTGGAAATTAATATTTCCAGAAAACTACTAAACTTTTACAGTCTGACATTTTCCTTATATGTTGTTTGTTTGCTACAATTTACATGTCTATTTCCCTTATTTTTTTATAGTTTTCCTAAGGGTAAGGTAAACTTCTTAATCACTTTTTTATCTTCTATACCTTCAACATAATGTCTTATACACAATTGTTTAAATGATTAAAGTAATAATTTATTTTTATTTTTTGTGGTTTTTTTTTTGGAGAGGTTTTTATAACAGGGCAAATGTGCTCTCTAGAAAGACAGAGACAGAGACACAGAAAGCGAGAAATCTCCCCCCCCCCCAGGGGGGATAACCACAAAAAACCCCCCCCCCCCCCCAGGGGGGATAACCACACCACAATCCCTTCTCCTCCATTCTCTTCTCAGGATCTTGGCATGCAAGCACACATGCCTGGTCTAAATTTAAGCCACTGGGTCTGGGACTCGGACTACGGTCAACTGCATGGGAATCCAGTGACATAGCCATTACACCAACTGCTGGTCTCTATTTTTATGTTTATTA